GGGTGATATGGGTTTGGTTCGTGTGCGCGCGCCCACCCAAATTCTGCATCTGGTAGACTGCGCATGAAGGTCCGCCACAGGCTGTTGTGAGAAGACCTGTGGAGATGGGATTGAGAATCAGGGGGGCGGTCCTTTCCCACTGGCGGTCGATGAGCTGAGTGAATGGGGTGGATCAGGGATGAGATGCTGATGGTTTCGAACACGGAGTTTGCTCTGCATGAGCTCTCTGCGGTTTACCGTGCTGGGAGCCATCCTTGTGGCTAGGCATATGACTTGAGCTCCTCCTTGGCCTGTCAGTGCATCGGTTGTGAGATCCCAGCCGAGATGTGGCAGACAGTAAGTGCAATAAACACCTTCGTGTTGCCTTTGGTAAATTTCCCGACGCTCGTCGGGGTGTGTGTCATTTTTTTTTTTTTTGTTTTTAAGGACGGTAGTACTCTGCTCTGTCAGCCAGGCTGGGGTGCTTGGGTGCATGTTCTCTTTGTTTTTTTTTAAGACGGAGTCTCACTCTATTGCCCAGGCTGGAGTGTCGGGTATGTCTTTATCAGCAGGGTGAAAACAGACTAATATACAGGGTGACTGTTATCTTGACTTTTCACAAATTTTGCTACCATGCCTGAGATATCATGCCACACACATTGTCATGAGCTTTTTGGTCCTAACCCAAAGCATAAAAACAATTCTGTATTAAGAGTGAGATTTGTGGCACTATTTTGTAGATGGAAGAACTGAAACTTGACCAGAAATTTAGTCAGTGTTCGAGTTCTATATAGAAGAGGTATTTTGCAGACAGGTCACGAAAGAATAAATAACATAACACAAGTTTTACTAACACTACTGAGAATATTGGTGAAAATGAAAAGTCAATGGGAGTCACATTTAAGAATTCTGTTAACTCAGCAGTGGGACTTTCCCAAACTATCCTGTGTGGCCAGATGACTGCTCCCTTTGCTACCCTGGAATGCCCCCACAGAGCAGAGAGGAGAAATGCAAATGCAAAGTTTAATTAAAAATAGCTCCTCAAGAGGTAGATCAACCCTGTTGTTTAATTAAATTGCAGACATTTTGGAAAACTGGATACTTAAGGGCTATATCTTATTTCTCAGGCATTCTTTGTCTGATTTCGGACTCTCCCCAACAAAATCCAAAGCCAGCCAGATAGTGGATGTCTTTTTTCTCCCCAAGGAGACTACTCAGTGTTCCAAAATTCCATTTACTACTCCTTTTCCCGGCCTTGAGAAATGAGGATTGAGTAGTATTTTCCTCTCCATTCTCTTTTATGTAGCTTCTTCTAGATCTTTGGCACATTTGGAAATGACATCAAAATTTAGCCTTAAAAAGGTAAATCTGGGCTGGGCGCCGTGGCTCAGGTCTGTAATCCCAACACTTTGGGCTGAGGAGGGTGGATCACAAGGTCAAGAGATCAACACCATCCTGGCCAACATGGTGAAACCCCGTCTCTACTAAAAATACAAAAATTAGCCAGGCGTGGTGGCATGTTCTGTAATACCAGCTACTAGGGAGGCTGAGGCAGGAGAATCACTTGAACCAGGGAGTCTGAGGTTGCGGTGAGCCGAGATCACACCACTGCACTCCAGCCTGGCAACAGATTGAGACTTCATTTAAAAAAAAAAAAAGTAAATCTGTGCCCACGTGGAGCCAGGGTCATTTTGCAGATGCAGAAAGAAAGATAATGGTGGCATTTGCAAATCCTTGCTTTAGATGTTTCCACCCTTACCATCATGACACTGAGGCAGGCTGAATCTGAAAAACTAGTCTGTTCTTCTGAATTTGGCAGCAACCTGAGAATTCTCCCTGCTCTCTAGCAGAACCATTATGCTATCTGGTGATTACTTCCTATTATCTTTGTCCCTTATATAAGATTGTGGTGGCCGGGCGCGGTGACTCACCCCTGTAATCTCAGCACTTTGGGAGACCAAGGCGGGTGGATCACTTAAGGTCAGGAGTTTAAGACTAGCCAACATGGTAAAACCCTGTCTCTACTAAAAATACAACAATTAGCTGTGCGTGGTGGTGGGCACCTGTAATCCCAGCTACTCAGGAGGATGAGGGAGGAGAATTGTTTGAACCTGGCAGGCGGAGGTTGCAGTGAGCCAAGATGATGCCATTGCACTCCATCCAGCCTGGGTGACACAGTGAGACTCCATCTCAAAAAAAAAGATTGTAGCATTGTTAGCCAAAATATGGAGTCAACCTAAATGTCTATCAGTGGATGAATGGATAAAGAAATCGTGGTATATGGACACAATGGAATATTATTCAGCCCCCAAATGGGGGAAATCCTGTCATTTGGAACAACATGGAGGAATCTGGAGGACATTATGCTTAGTGAAATAAGCCAAGCACAGAAAGACAAATACCACATAATCTCACTTATCCGCAGAATCTAACAAGGTTGAACTCATAGAATTATAGAGTAGAATGGTGGTTACCAGAGGCTGGGGATGGTGTGTGGGGAGGGCGTGAATGGAGAGTTGTTGATCTAAGAGTACAAAGTTTCTTTGTAGACAGGAAAAATAGGTTTTGAGATCTATTGCCTAGCAGGGTGACTATAGTCAATAATAATGTATGTATGTTTCAAAATAACTAAGAATACATTTCAAATGTCTCACCATAAAAAATGATAGGCAAATTTTTAAAAATAATAAGCAACTGAGATGATGGATATGTTAATTATCTTGATTTAATTATTCCTTGTTGTGTACATATATCAAAACATCACATTGTACCCTATAAATACACAATTATGATTTTTCTGTTGAAAATAATATTAATAATAAAAAAGACTGTGAAATTATTGAGTACGAAGGACTTAGAGCTCATCTAGACCATGTGATTTTCAGAAGTGGAAAATGAGACTCTCTGCTTTGAAGTGCCTGCTCGAGTTTGTGGTGGCATGGTATCAGAGTCCGGGTCCTTTACTCCTCTTCCAAAATGCTTCCATCTTGTGACTTGAAAAAGTTGAGTGCCACTGAAGAGACTGGGGTCTGGTGTTAGCCACACAACAGGGAAAGAGGAGGCACAGGAGGCAGACGCTGAGTTACAGACAATGGGAAGAATGGGAAACAAAGTTAGAGCCCCCATTTTCATCTATTGAGGTCCAGATTCTTCCCACACCTCCAGCAGCCTCTGCACTTAGTGCACTTAGTGCTGAGGAAGGTAGGGAAGGGAGTCAGCAGCATGCATCCCGAAGCTGCAGCCGTGAGGGGCTGGGAAATGGAAGCCATCCTGCATGGTCGAGGAAAGACCTGGGAAAGATTGTCAGCATGGGAGACCCTTGAAGAAGCCAGATTCAGGAGCTCCATTTGAGGCCTGACAAAGTAAGGCTGGAAGTGCCTGAATAAGACATGGAACAACGAATGACAAATTTTTCTCTCACGCTTTGGTCTAGTGCAGGCCCTATTAGAGTCATATAATGGAGACTCAGACTGGTGATCTCAGGGCCCAAATAAGAGCCGTGCTGAACACAAAATTCCTCCTGGATGTTTAACTCCTTGATATTGTAACACGCATTGTGGTCCATCTTCTCTTGTGGATATGTGAAAGTTTTCACTATCTTCCTACAAAATAGGTTAGCTGTATGGATCTCAATTTATAGACAGAAGAAAAGGAAAAAAAAAAAAGATCAAAATGGCAAAACAACTTGCCCAAGAACAGAAAATGCTAAAAGCCAACCATGGTCTAGGATTCACAGGTATCAAGTTCTTCAGTCTATGATTCTATCCATGAATAAGCCACGGTTTCCCGTGCAATCCAAAAGTTGTAACGTACTCTGTTCCACTGTTATTGTTTGTGTTACAAAATTAGGTTTCTAAAATATTCTGTAGCATCTGAACTAAGGCATGTCTTATAATTCAAATTCTTTCTTTCTTTCTTTAACCTATTTCCCGTTTGCCCTGAGAATACTATACTGGCAGCAAGCTGCACTTTGTTTTTCTAAATGGGAAATGGGTTAAACGTTCATCCTATCTTCCTGTCTCGCTGGCTGCCACTTTCAGTCAGCTTTGCCAGCTCCTCCTTCGCTTCCAAGCCTCTAAATGTTGGCCATTCAGAGCACTAGCTATATTCGCTCCCTAGGTGATCTCATCCTGTCTCATGACTTTATAAATTCTCTTGGTCCATTTTGTGTTGCTAGGAAGGAATACCTAAGGCTGGCTAATGTGTATATAGAAAAAGGTCCATTTGGCCCATGATTCTGGTGGTTGGGGAGTTCGAGAATTGGCATCTGCATCTGGTGAAAATCTCAGGCTTTGTCTACTCATGGAGGAAGGTGAAGGGGAGCTGGTGTGTGTAGCAATCACTTGGGGAGAGAGGAGGAAAGAGACAGTAGGGCAGTGCTAGGCTCTTCTTAACAACTCTTGTGGGAACTAATACAGTGAAAACTCACTCACCTCTGGGAGAGGGCATTCATCTCTTCATGAGGGATCTGCTCCCATGACCCAAACACGTCTCACTAGGCTCTGCTTTCAAACTTGGTGATCAAATTTTAACCTGAGGTTGAGAGGGTACAAACATCCAAACCATAGCTTATGCCTACTGTATATCCAGGATCCCCAAATTTAGCCCTCCAGTCCTTATTTCCTTTCCAAACGCCAGACTTACACCCAACTGTCTGCTCAGTAGCTCCATGTGCATGGCTCATAGGCCCGTCAAAGTTAACATGTTCCAAAAAGAACTCTTGGTTCCATAGCTGCTTCATTCCCCACTCCCAAACCTACTCCCCCCCAGTCTTCTCCCTCTTGATAAGTGGCACCACGACTCACCCACTTGCTACAAACCTAAAAGTCTTGCCTGAGTGTTCTTTTCCCTCACACACCCACATTCAGTCTGTCATGAAATTCTGTCAGTTCTACCTTCAAAATACATTCATCATCGTGACCTCTTTCACCGCCTCCACCTCTACCACCCTAGCCCAAGTTCCTGTCATCTTCCAACTGGGCTGACCTTTTTATGGTCTCCAGGAGAACACTCATGACCTTAGCAGTCATTCCCCCATACCTTAGCCAGGGTGGTCAAATACTTAGATCATGTTACTTCCCTACTCAAAAGCCTCCAATAACTTCCCATAGCCCTCAGCAGAAAACCTCAATATTACAGTGTCTCCAGCCCTAGTGATCTCCTTTCCTTTAACTGGTAGCTCAACTATGACATCTCCACTTCCCTCCAGTCACACTTGCCTTCTTGCTTTCCTCTCCCCTGGGGGTTCTTAGCCTCTTCTGTGCCACGGACCCCTTCAGCAGTCTGGTAAGGCCTGTAGATCTCGCCTCAGAAAGTTTTTATTATTTTATTTTTTATTTTACTATTTTTTTAGCCGGAATCTTACTCTGTCACCCAGGCTGGAGTGCAGTGACACGATCCTGGCTCACTGTCACCTCTGCCTCCTGGGTTCTAGCGATTCTCCTGCCTCAGCCTCCCCAGTAGCTGGGACTACAGTCGTGTGCTACCACGCCTGGATAGTTTTTGCATTTTTAGTACAGACGGGGTTTCGCCCTGTTGGCCAGGCTGGTCTCAAACTCCTGACCTCAAGAGATCCACCCGTCTCGGCCACCCAAAGTGTTGGGATTAAAGGCGTGAGCCACCGCAACCAGACCCCTCTCAGAAGGTGTTTTTGTTTGTTTGTTTGTTTGTTTTTTGAGACAGAATCTCCCTCTGTCACCCATGTTGGAGTGCAGTGGCACAATCTTGGCTCACTGCAGCCCCCACCTCCCGGGCTCAAGGGCTTCTCCTGCCTTATCCTCCTGAGTAGCTGGGATTACAGGCACGCACCTTCACACCCGGATAATTTTTGTACTTTTAGTAGAGATAGGGTTTCACCATGTTGGCCAGGCTAGTCTCGAACTCCTGGCCTCAAGTGATCCGTTTGCCTTGGTTTCCCAAAGTTCTAGGATTACAGGCGTGAGCCACTGCACCTGCCATCAGAATGTTTTTAAATGCATAAAATAAAACACATGAGATGACAAAGGATCCAGTTACAATGAAATATGGTTACCAGAATATTAAAAACACATTTGTGTTACAGTAATGAATGTGCTTCTTTATCAACGTGTGAAAGAACAGGATCTAGCAGCAGCTTTAATAACTATCATAATTTGGAAGTTGTGATAAGCACGAAATATACTTCCAGATACCTACAGCAACTGTAATGTGATGGGAGAGTATCTGTGATTTTTATTGGTGTCAGAGTCAAAGATGCTGCTACTATTACTACAGTATGTTTGTCTCCAGTAATTTACTGAAGGGAAAACTAAACTTCAGTTAGCAGTTAGTGAGAATAGAGAGGTAATTTTCTTCCCTATTCAAGTTCGGGGACCTCCTGATTTTATCCATGGACCCCAAGTTAAGACATTCTGCTTAACACAGCAAGCTCATTCCCACCTCTGGACCTTTAGACTTGCTATTCCCTCACTTGGAATGCTCTCCCTCTAGATCTCTGCATAGCTTACTCTTACCTTGTTCAAGCTTCTGTCCAAAGAGTGCCTTCCCTCACTACCTGTCCAAAGCGGCACCTCCATTCATCTGTCACGCTCCTTCCTTTCATCTGCTTCCTCTCCCCACCTTCCTTACCACTCTTTCAAGTCAGGCTGTTTTGGTGTTTTGTGTTTGTTTACTTGTTTACTGGATTTCTGAAGGTGAACTGCACTGTCCGCCTTGTTCTCCACAGTCCCCCAGCATCTAGAACTGTGCCTGCTACAAGAAAGCACTCAGCAAATGTTTGGTGGGGTGATGAATGACTGTAAAAGGATGAAATGATTTAGACTTTTAGATACTTGCAAGTATCTCTCCTGGGAAAGATTTTATTTTGCTATTTTTTGAGCCAGAATCTTACTCTGTCACCCAGGCTAGAGTGCAGTGGCACGATCTTGGCTCACTGTCACCTCTGCCTCCTGGGTTCTAGCGATTCTCCTGCCTCAGCCTCCCCAGTAGCTGGGACTACAGTCGTGTGCCACCACGCCCGGATAATTTTTGCATTTTTAGTAGAGACGGGGTTTCACCCTGTTAGCCAGGCTGGTCTCAAACTCCTGACCTCAAGAGATCCACCCGTCTCGACCTCCCAGTGTGTTGGGATTACAGGCGTGAGCCAACGCAACCAGGCCCCTCTCAGAAGGTGTTTTGTTTTCAAATTTCAGTCAAAAAAGGCATGTTTTCACAGGGTTTAAAAATATTTCAAAATTAAGATTTTTGAAGGAAAATGTTCCATATTTTATAGTCTTCCGGCTATGTGTCATGAACCAGCTTGGGCCTGTGCCTCCCCCACCAGAGGACTGAGTGTTACAGTCCCAGAAGGTTGGTGAACCTTGAACACAATGAGCAATGGCTGGTTTTCACTACCTCACATGAAAGTGTAACAGATTACTTCTAAAAATAGCTATTTTCTTTTAAACTTGTTCTTTCCATTTTGAATATAGCTGAACCTGAAAAGGGATTTATTAAATTCACATTATACTTCTCTCAAAAGCAAATAACATTAGAGAGCACACACAGTGGTGTATCACATGACGTGGAGGCAAATTCATCCTTTATTGCAAGATATAATTTAATATTGGGCACATTGTATTTGAGGCACCGAGGGACTTCCTAGTGATAGCTTGTTAGTCATTAAAAATGGGGGTCTGGAACTCAGGAAAGCAGACACAGCTTCAGAGACAAATGGGTGTCACTGTTGCACATGTGGTACTGGAGCAATGGTAGGTAGGTAGGATTTCTCAGGTGGAACATGTGGAATCAGAGATGGAGCCAAAGTCATCTCCCAAAGAGCCCACAGAAGAGGAAAAAAACAGGAAGGAAGACTTGGAATCAGAAGTACCAAGTCATTCAAGTAGCTACCTATCCAAGTATAAGTTGGCTTACTAGTCGCCTAAGGTATGTAATTCCTGACCAGCTCCTGAAGATAAGAAAGAAGACAGGAAGGTAATACATGTACCACGACCTTTAAAAGAAAGAGACAGTATTGGCCGGGCGCGGTGGCTCAAGCCTGTAATCCCAGCACTTTGGAAGGCCGAGACGGGTGGATCACGAGGTCAGGAGATCGAGACCATCCTGGCTAACACGGTGAAACCCCGTCTCTACTAAAAAATACAAAAAACTAGCCGGGCGATGTGGCGGACGCCTGTAGTCCCAGCTACTCGGGAGGCTGAGGCAGGAGAATGGCGTGAACCCGGCAGGCAGAGCTTGCAGTGAGCTGAGATCCGGCCACTGCACTCCAGCCTGGGCGACAGAGCGAGACTCCATCTCAAAAAAAAAAAAAAAAAGAAAGAGACAGTATTAGAACACAAAACTGACAAACAACATCTGAGAAAATGCTAATCATGCCTCATTCGCAAATTATCTTACAAAAGCAAACACCTAACTGGAAGAGTTGGCAAAATATAGAGCTTGGTAAAGAAAGCCAGAGAAGAAATACTAGGGCAAACCTCAAGTGAATACAGAAATAGCTCTGAGAGCTAAAAAGGAAAGTTAAAAAAAAAAAAAAAAAACTTATTAAATGCCAACCAGTAGATGTGTCCCTGCTGTACCAAGAAATGTTGGTGTTCCCAGGACATCTGTGTTAAGTAACGGAAACAAAATGTTTTTCATTCAAACAACTGCATTTTGAACAGAAGACTGAAAACAAAGTAAAGCAAAAAAGAATGTAATCCTGAAACAAACTGACATACATATTCTATGAATGTGTATTACCAAAACACAGAAGCAGGATCATCATTTAATTGCATTTCTGTAAGTACTTTGACTCTTCATTGTTGGCAAATACATTGATAAGACTTCTAAATGGCAGAGAGGACAGATCTAGGAAGCATAATGCTTGTTCCTGATCAAAATGAACTGATTGGAAAATTTTTCGAACATTTTCAGGCAAAACACTTGCATTTAATACCGTTGACTCTGATGAAGTATGATTGACAGTGGACCAAGACCCCCGACCACTGTGCTCCCCATCCCCTGATCAAGGCACCACCTTACCTCACACTCATCTAAGTGGTCCCTGAGGAACCTCCAAGGAAACCCAGGAGTCTGTGCAGCACGTTTGAAAACCACTCAATCAAAGAAAGAAGACACAGTGCGTATAATACACAAGAACAATAATTCATGCCAACGTTTTTCTTAGTGACTTGATCCAACTTAAATGTATCCACTTACTAAGCGGAAGTGCTTTAAGCACCGGAAGGAAGTCAGCTTGGGACCCTGATTCTAGTTTCAGGGTCTTGGCCACAGCTGCCATCTACGCACACCTTCATTCTAAGCTCGAGCTGAGCAATGGCAATGGTTGTAGCCACCCCAGCACACTGGCAGGTAGCAGTGGGAATGAGAAAGAGGTTTGTTGGGCATTTCCTACTCATTTTCCAGAGCAGATGGGTGGGAAGTCAAGGAGGCAGGTTTCCAGGAGGTCAATGAAGCTTACGTTTTAGAATCCCTCCCACTAACTCAGTTAATGAGTCTCACCAATCCAAAAAGCATTGAAGATTAACTACTGTGCAAACGTCTGAATGCCCTGGAATCTTATGGCTTATATATGAAAGAAATTTGAGAGATTCTCCTTATCCTAAAAGTTTACATGATATGACCAATAACATGTTGTGAAGCCAAGAAAACTTTTCTAATTACCAATAGTAATAAAAGACAATTTCCCCTCAACCATGCTAGAGGAAAGAGCGAATTATTTATTATCCCTACAGACATTGATAGTACAAAATCATGGCAATATAAATAAGTGTGCAGCCCCCAAAAATGTAATGAAAAGGCATTTAGAAAGATGTGCCTAGCAGTTTAGCAATAAAAATTATGACAGTAGCTGGGCATGGTGGCTCACGCCTATAATCCCAGCACTTTGGGAGGTCGAGAGGGGCGGATCACTTGAGGTTAGGAGTTCGAGACCAGCCTGACCAACATGGTGAAACCCCGTCTCTACTAAAAATACAAAAATTAACTGGGCATGGTGGCGCATGCCTGTAATCCCAGCTACTCAGGAGGCTGAGGCAGGAGAATTGCTTGTACCCAGGAGTTGGAGGTTGCAGTGAGCTGAGATTGCGCCATTGCACTCCAGCCTGGGCGACAGAGCAAGACTCTGTCTCCAAAAAAAAAATTATGATAGTATTTTTCTAGATTTTGTAGTGTTTCTGTTATTGATCAGCTTTTCGAATTTTTTAATTTGTTGTGATTTCTTTTCTAATCTAAAGAAATCACTTTTGTACCTGACTTTGTATTAGGCATTTTATATTCTTTTTTTTTTCTTCTTCGTGTATTCTTTTTTATTTAAGATGGTGCCAAAGGCCTGGCACAGTGGCTCATGCCTGTAATGCCAGCACTTTGGGAGGCCGAGGTGAGCAGATAACTTGAGGTCAGGCGTTCAAGACCCCCTGGCTAACATGGTGAAACCCTGTCTCTACTAAATATACAAACATTAGCCGAGTGTGGTGATGGACACCTGCAGTCCCAGCTACTTGGGAGGCTGAGGCAGGAGAATCGCTCAAACCCAGGAAATGAAGGTTGCAGTGAGCCAAGATTGTGCCACTGCACTCCAGCCTGGGCAATAAGGAGAGACTGTGTCTCAAAACAAACAAACAAACAAACAAGATGGTGCCAAAAATTATACAAGCCCAGGCCTTGCAAAGCCTGGACCTGCATCTGTCTACCTTGGAGGTGTAGTGGGCAGACGACAATTGCTTCTTGGGCACTGTCCTACTCTGCTAGAGTTTGCAGTAATTGAAAGTGCAGACTGATGGGGATAGAACAGGGGCTTTCGTAGATGAAACAATCAAGAGACACAAAGTGAGTCTTATTTTAGACCACATTCATAACAAACGTCAAACGGCACCTCCTCCCCTCAAGCTAACTAGATCCTTCAATATCCAATTATCACCATGGACACAAAAGACGGAAATGAACTGCTGGGGTTGGCCTATAAGATATTATTTGCATGAAGAACAGAGAAGCCTTCAGGGAAAGAACTCACCCTAAGGGAAGCAGGAGCCTCACATGAACAGGTTGCCCCTGTCATAAGCCCTTGCAAGTTCTACAAAGAAAAGGTCAGAGCTTGCAAAAATACAGCTTACCTTGGGGTTTATACACTAAAACAAGGAGGGAGGTGGAGACAGGGTAACTTTAGTATCCTGAGGGCCCTACTGCTTTCCACTGCTGTGGTATGAGACAGCAGCACCAACAGATATCTGGTGGGAAAAAGAGGCCTAGTGAGCACTGAGATCCCTGTTGGTGATCAGTGGAATGATGAGTGCGTGGCAAGAGTTAATTTGTCCATGAGTATACAGAGACTTGTAGAAGTAACACGGGAAGACCTATTGCAGAGGACTGAAGAGGTCCTGGCTGACTGGTGTGGACACAAACTAGTGAAATTTGGTTTATTACTCTAGTAATGACAGGGCAGGGAGTTGGGATGCTCAGGGATAACATAATTAAGAGGACCTGGGTGTTATCTGCCACAAGCTTACCGTGTGGCATTATACCTCTGCCTTCCTCATGTGGAGAAATTTGGTGCAGGTGTCAGACAAATGATCTCCAAGATGTCTGCTAGCAGATTCAAATTAATGTTCTCTTTATTTTATCAGAGATTACATGCAAATAGTTTCAGTCATGCCAACAGCTGGGCTCCCGCAGGCCTGCAGGAAGTGACTTAGAATTATGCCAAGTCTTGGCATAATTTCTAAAAGAAAATGACTTTTAGAATTATGCACCTATTTATTTCTAGATGAACAAAGTGAATCCCAGAGCAAACAAGCAACTTCTCTGGTGCTGCTTTTCTCAGATACACAACGTAACCAGAATCTGAGGCCGCTGAAGAGCTGGAATTCAAAAAAACAGTGCTTCTGCCAGGACTGTGGGATATGGCAGTAGGGGCAGTGGCTGTACGGCTCTGTGACCATACAACACTGTCAGTGATGTCCCTAGAACTGTGCTGTGTGTCACCTGCCCAACCATACATGGTGGCCCTCCTCTGTTCCCCTTGTCCCTACTCTCAAAATTCAGTTCCAAGTCCCATGACTGGCAGTCCCAGGAAAAGGAAGGGTGGAGGTGCTGGAGCAGTCCTCTGCCCTGCCCACTGCCTTTTCCTCTCCTAGGAATGCATTTTATTTTAAAAAGTTGCTTACAGAGCAGAGCTGATGGCTTTCCCATATGCCCTGCCATCAGACAAGACTGCGCACACTGGGAAAACACAAATGAATTCTCATGCACACTGGAAAGGTTCAAAATGACAACAGGAAATTAGGGAATTGTGAGGAAAATGGAAAATCCTTAGGCAATTTAGGAAAATGACAGATTGGAATTCTCCAGTCACTTGCTTCTCTGCCAAGCATAGCTACTGCTAAAGAGAATAGCACAAAAATGCAGCACAGCCTCTTTCAAGATGGCAGCCTCCAGAAAGCCAGGGTCCCTGGTGAAGAGGCAAAGGAGCAGCCAAAGAGCACCCACAGAAGACAAGGAAGTCAGAGTCCTTGTGGGAAAGCATGCAGCCGAGCACACTTTCTCAAGCACACTCAGACTCATCGACTTCTATTAAAGTTGCCCAAAGCTGTGTGGTGGCTCATGCCTGTAATCCCAGCACTTTGGGAGGCCGAGGCAGGCGGATCACCTGAGGTCAGGAGTTCGAGACCAGCCTGGCCAACATGGTGAAACCCTGTCTCTACTAAAATACAAAAATTAACCAGGCATGATGGCAAGTGCCTGTAATCCCAGCTACTTGGGAGACTGAGGCAGGAGAATTGCTTGAACTTGGGAGGTGGAGGTTGCAGTGAGCCAAGATTGCACCATTGCACTCCAGCTCCAGCGTGAGTGCCAGAATGAGACTCCGTCTCAAAACCACGCCAGGGAAATATCATAAATTTGGTATGGAAGTAGAGAATCAAACATGCTTTGAGTTCCTCTGCCACATTGTGCCCACATGCTCTTCCTGTGTTTGCCATGGGGTCACACATGCAGACCCCTGCTGCTCACCTCTACAGACCTTGCACCCGGTGGCTCTCCTGTGTTCTGCTCTGTGCAATGCATGTCCAAGAAAGAACTGACACAGGAGAGCCAGACAAGCTGATGTTTAGACCAGTGGACTTCAACCTTGGCTACACATTGGACTCATCTGGGGAGCTCTGTAAAAATGCCTAATGCCTGGCTCCTACCCTAGACCAAATAATTCCCCATGTCAGGCTGGAATACTGGCATTTGCCAAGAGCTGGTGCAGGTGGAAGCATCTGCCAATTCTGAGAGCTAAATCAGTGATTCCTAAACTTTGCTCAACCACAAAACTCTTTTCTTTGAATTTTAACTCTTTAGGACCCCAACATTCTGGTCACATATTTTGGGGAGCTTTAAAAAAGCCCACTGTTCAGGCTGTACCCCATATCAATTAAATCAGAATTTCTGGAGATGGGAACCAGGCATTAGTATTTTTAAAAATTTCTCAGATACTTCAAAAGTTCAGCCTAATTGGGAACCAATGAGTTAAATGATAACAGTCTAGTTCACACAGTAGGATCTCGGTGTGTGGGGGTTGAGGAGGTTGGGAAAGGGGACCTACCTTCCAAGCTGGGAATAAGAAATCAACAGAGTTTGGCAGGAGGCTGGTTGGTTGTATTAACAAATCTAAAGATAGAACATGTCAACCAAAGCAGGATGTCTGCATGGAACAGGGAAAGTGGGAGTCAGAGAGGAAGGTCTAGCCAAGGGGGCAGTGCATGGGCGACCTCATGGGAACATCCAGTCCTATCTGTCTGGCAGGTCTGTCCCCAAAGAAGAGATGAAGGCACAAGCTTAAGAAAATTTGACACCTGGCTGGGCACGGTGGCTCACGCCTGTAATCCCAGCACTTAGGGAGGTTGAGGCAGGTGGATCATTTTTGAGGTCAGGAGTTTGAGACCAGCCTGGCCAACATGATGAAACCCCATCTCTACTAAAAATACAAAAATAAGCCAGGCGTGGTGACAGGCACCTGTAATCCCAGCTACTCAGGAGACTGAGGCGGGAGAATTGCATGAACCCGAGAGGTGGAGGTTGCAGTGAGCCAAGATTGCACCATTGCACTCCAGCTCCAGCGTGAGTGCCAGAATGAGACTCCGTCTAAAAAAAAAAACAAAAAAACAAAAAAACAAAAAAACACCCTTTGACATTAAACCATCCTTCTAATATCCCCTGCTCAGTCTGTGCTCAAGCAGCATTCTCATTACCATTTGTCTTCCTTTTGGTTTTCTACTGGGAAAGAACATGTTAGTCAAGGTGACACAAATGTCCACTCAGCTTAGAAGTTCTTATTTCTTGTTGCAAATTAATAAATTGTCATTTTGGTTTGGATAGCAACCTCCTGAGAGCTTGAGTGATGTGAATCTGTCCCTGAGAACCTGACTCACTCTAGCAGGTTGATATCGTCCAGTTTCCAAGCCTGCAGATTAGTTTCACCAAAGTGGCACCATTTCAAAATTCCTGGGGCTTAGCACAGAGCGTTTTTCATGATCCACCAAATTGGGAGCTTCTGAAAGACGCTGGTCAGTGTTTGATTCTTCTGTGTATCACTAATACCACCCTAATTCCAAGACACCATAGGCAAGGATGATAGTCTGAATATATACATCTGTGTCAGCAGCACGGCTGTTTCTGTACAATGCCAGCCCCAGCACTGGAGCAGAGTCCTGGAGGCCCCCATAGAGCCAGGTGCTAATGCTGGTCTTATGGAATTCAGGGGGTCCTGGGGAAGAGATTGCTATGTCTGCAGCAGAGGAAGGCACTGGGGAGGTTCAAGGTAGAAACGTTTTGCCAATCAGTACAGAAGTATTTTGATATTTTAGAAGTTAGTAGATACGGCCATACTGGTGCATGACAGCTAAATATCAGCTGTTTGTAGGTAACACGTATTTGTTGATTCAATGAGTGCCCCCACTAAAGCATCCTTCTTACGGCTGGTGGCACTCCTCCATCTACCTTCCCACAAAATGCCAAAGACTTTCCTGCCCAGGGCTCCTTGACCCATGAGAGAATGTGACTAAGTACGGTCATAGCTTCACATCACATATCCTGGGGAGCTGGTGGTTCTGGTGGCTGGGACCTGAGGATTGAGAAGAAAAGGAGTGTGGGCCAGTTGCGGTGACTCACGCCTGTAATCCCAGCACTTTGGGAGGCTGAGGCAGGTGGATCATCTGAGGTCAGGAGTTCAAGATCAGCCTGGTCAACATGGTGAAACTCTATCTCTACTAAAAATACAAAAAATTAGCCAGGCATGGTGGTGGACGCCTGTCATCCCAGCTACTTGGGAGGCTGAGGCAGGAGAATTGCTTGAACCTGGGAGTTGCAATGAGCCGAGATCGCGCCACTGCACTCCAGCCTGGGCAACAAGAGCAAAACTGCATCTCCAAAAAAAAAAATAAGAAAGAAAGAAAGAAAAGGAGTGTGGCCTCCTCACAGGGCTAAGAATATAATGCACAGACCTGCTTTTGCTTTAATTTAAAAAGAAAGTACTAAAGCCCCATGTCTTTGCAGCTATGGAATCGTTTGGCAAAATTACTTTTCTTTGTTGTGTTCTAATTTGAAAGCAAAAAAAAAAAAAAACCATTCGTCTAATATTTGTGTAGAGGGACTTGATCAGATGAGAACAAAACTTCTGGTCCCTTTTAAAGTGGCATCTACTATGATTCCCCAACAAAGCGACTGTCTAAGAACTGCCTCTTTAGCATTCTGCACTCTCTCTCTCCTGCATTTGATATTCTGCCACAAGTGATGGCTGAGGGACCTCGTCACTGGGGGAGGTCGCTGAAGAACACTTGTTTACCATGTCATTCCTGCTTTGTCATTCTGGTGGTGGCTTGTCCATCACCCTCCTCACAGCACTTTAAAGCACATGTGCAGTCAATGAAATGGACAGATCTAGAGAGTCTTTTATGGTTAATGGTGCTGTTACTGTGAAATATGAATGCTGTAGATGTCAGTTCATAGTTCATCATGCTGGCCACGGTTTTGGCTTTTTAGACCTTTCTCCCAATATTTTACTTTCCCCATTTCCCAATCCCCACCCTCTTAAATTTTAGTAAACTGTGTATTGTCATGCTATTGAGAAATCTAATCTGAAAATGGTTTGGGTTTTTTTTGTTTTTTTTTTTTTTTTTTTTTCAGCCAGAGTTTTGCTGTCATCCAGGCTGGAGTGCAGCGGCCCGATCTTCGCTCACTGCAACCTCTTCCTCCTGAGTTCAAGCGATTCTCCTGCCTCAGTCTCCTGAGTATAGCTGGGATTACAGGCTCCTGCCACCACACCCGGCTAATTTTGTATTTTTAGTAGAGATGGGATTTCACTGTGTTGGTCAGGCTGGTCTTGAACTCCTGATCTCAAGTAATCCACCTGCCTCAGCCTTCCAAACTGCTGGGATTACAGGCATGAGCTACTGCACCTGGCCTAGAGATGTATTTAGAGAAGGATGGTGTTCCTTCTAAAATCATTTATATTCTCACTAATACATATATTATCTCATAGCTTCTGAGTATGTACAGTTGGAATAAGGGTTATTTAGTACCAGTTAGTGATAAAGAAAAGATGTCTAAACAAATAGATGGATGCCTATCCTGTTAGAGTAGCAAAATATATCTAGACCAACTCTGATGCTGGCCACAACGGCAAAGCATTTGTTTCCAAGTTACTATTTTGGTGTCATCTTTTGGACATCTCAGAAAGCTCTAGGCTGAGCTAGAAACATAAAGAGTTTCATTATTCAAAAGGAAAAATCTATTATATCTTGTGGCCCCAGAGTGAAAACAGCACGTGAACTCAGGGCTGCCAGCCGACCCTCGTGCCAGCTGGTTCAATGGGCAGAAGTGAGAATGTTAATAAACACTCTAATGAAAGGAAGTTGTTGGATAGTAATTAACATATGCCATTAGTATCTGTCCCTTTGGCCAGACACGGCAGACAGGCTGAAACCATACATACAAATGAGTGTCTGCTAGGACTGTGCGCGGAAGAAAGGGGGACAGTGTCATTGTGAGCGGCTGGTGTTGTCAGCAGCTTTAAATCACAGGGCCACTGAGTAACAAAAACAGGGAAGGCTTTTGTGTTTTGGAACAATTGGGTGGCTTACAATTTAAAATACTTAATAAACTGGTTTTTATTCTCATATACTTTCCTTTTACCTCAAAACCTTCTGTTTACAGTTGTGTTTTGTTAAGAAAAATACCGATTTAGCTTTTTTTTTTCCTAATCAGTGAGTGAAGGATTGCAACTTAGGGCTTTTTGTTTTTAAACCACAATTTCCTCATCTCGCCAGGAAGAGAGGTGACTACCTGTTTCTCAGGGGCACCCTGATAGTCGTATTTCTCAAGATCTACATTATTCCTTTCTAATTGATCTAAAATGGGTTAGAAATCATATCTACTACTCCCAAATACTGCCTCTTACAATACAGTGGAAAGTCAGGACTGCAAACACAGAGCTCAGTCGGCTTCAATGGCTTATTTTTTGCCAATGGGAAACTGAGGCCCAGAAAGGCGAACTGATGGTCCCTAAATCACAGGCCTGGTCTGCTGACCATTGTTAAGCCTTCTCCCCTCCTAGGCCACACTGTTGCATTGCCTGCTTCTTTCTTACTTTGACAATGACCAATTCCATACTACTTTGCTGAGAAAAAAAAAAAAAGAGAGAGACATCAAAAAGAGACGAAACCGGCCGGGCGCGGTGGCTCAAGCCTGTAATCCCAGCACTTTGGGAGGCCGAGACGGGCGGATCACGAGGTCAGGAGATCGAGACCATCCTGGATGACATGGTGAAACCCCGTCTCTACTAAAAAATACAAAAAAACTAGCCGGGCGAGGTGGCAGGCGCCTGTAGTCCCAGCTACTCGGGAGGCTGAGGCAGGAGAATGGCGTGAACCCGGGAGGCGGAGCTTGCAGTGAGCCAAGATCACGCCACTGCACTTCAGCCTGGGCGGCAGAGCGAGACTCTGTCTCAAAAAAAAAAAAAAAAAAAGAGACGAAACCACATTTGGGTCTTCTTCATGTATGTTGATTTGCTGAAGCACACACAACATTTTA